AAATTACAAAACATCTAATACATTCTAAGCTTTAGAAGATATCAAGGAGAAAAATAATTTACCTTCTAATAAAAATTTTCTAAATTTGATCCACTGAAGTTTTAACACAGGAACATTTTAGTTACACAACCTTCGTTGTTTTACAAAATTTAAAAAAAATGTTTAATTTTGTAAATTTAAATTAACCTCCTGATAGGTAATAATGCTGCTGAACTATGTTTGGAAAAATATAAAATATGAATAGATTAAGAATTGTTAAACTCTCAGCAGCATATTCACTTCTGTTTGATTTCTATCTGGAGCTATTATTATGAGAGAGGAGTTATTAACACTAATTTCAACTTATATGTGTATAGACATAACAACAGCTATTTGTTGTTAACACATGAAGAATGGATAAGTATGGATTTTATGCATTAGTTATATTTTTCTTGGATTGGAAAAATGGTAAAAAAGATATGGGAAAATGTCATTTTATTTATGTAGTTTAGATGAGTTTAAATTACCTTTTTATTTTTAAAAAAGGTTAACCTGAGCTAGATAGAAAGTAATGTCTGAGAAGCCATTGAATAGTTGAGCAATGAACAAATTCTCAAATTTGGATTCCAGTTTCCTAACTTCATACAGGTTTCCCCCACTATCTGAAAGTATACCATTCCTATTATAACTTTTGTAAGCCATGCTGGTGTAAAGTGAAGAAGCAATTACCATTAATTTATATGGAAAAAGTTTTGAGTGTTTTTATTTATTTTTTATTTTTATTAATTTTTTTAAAGATTTTTTTTTATTGGGGAATTGGGGGGGGAACAGCATTGGGGAATTGGGGAAGGGGAACAGACAAGTTGCTGTCCTTTTGTTCTTCAGTGTAGTTGTGGAGGGCATCGCTTCACTGATCCATGTTGGTATTATCATTGCGCTCTTCCCGGGTGAGGCAGATCGGTCACCGGCCACTGGATGGCCACTCCCGGTAGCTTATGGCAGCCAACTGCAGCAGGGGTTGCAGCCTTCGCTGTCGCTGGCAACTCATGGCAGCCCAGCTTCAGGTCAAGCTGTTGTTCACCATCTTAGCTGTAGAGGGTGCAGCGTCACTGGCCCTCATATGGGATCTGAACTGGGGCTCTGCTGCTCAGAGCTCGCATCCCAAGCCAACTCTTACCCATCGCGCCACTCGGCCAGTCTGTTTTGAGTGTTTTTAGACCCAAAATTCCACATGCACAATATCTTTACTTTGTTCACCACAATTGAAATGCTTAATTACATCCATTTTTCTGACATAACACCCTCACGAGCTCTCTTAGGCTTTTCTGATACCTTGGGACACATCTTGCTAAGGGATGCACAAAATATTAATAAATCAAGGTAAAGCACAGATGCTTACAGATACAGTTCAAAGCCATGGTGCCTTGATGCTGAGATGCTGGGTGTAGCTCTGGGGAAAGGAGCTTGGCAGTGCCACTCTCCCCGCTCACGGTGCCTGTTGCCTCTATAATGGCTCAGTGAACAAGAATGCTAAACGTTATTTTCGCTTTTGACCTTTTTTTTTCCATAAAAGCAGAAGTCATCTTCAGATTTCTTTCAGTTATCAAAAACAGGTGCTAATGTAGGTCTTTTGTAAAAGCGAACTTTTGAAAAGTGGAGGATACCTGTATATTCATTCTACCAGTCAGGCCCTAAAATCATTCTATAGGACTGTTTCATTGGAATATGGAATTATAGAATGTTTAGGGTAAGAGGGTCCTTAAAAATAATTTAACCCAACTTGACCTATATGGCAAGGCGATATATACAGACCTGCATGTTTGAGTTTGGAGCTAGAAATTGACAATGAGCTGAATTAAACTGCATAGCAAAGAGTTGAGAAATCTGAAGTAAATGGTTTGGATATCAGAGAAGAGGTAGATGAAAATTCCAGAGGCCCAGTGTAACATGAGGAAAGAAAGAAAAAGGGACCCTCCTGTCATGGGAGATTTGAAAGGAGGGACTTAAGAGATAGGACAAGCTGAAGAAGGTGATGTAGTGTGTTTTTTATCATGTAAACCTTCTTCTTGTCCCCTGTGAAATTTACAGCAGTTCTATATTTATCACTAATGCAAGTGGGTATTTTGGAGGGATGACTTACGGAGGGAGATGAGTGGACAATTGATATTTGGATTAGATTACTATTTTTTCTTTTTTATTAAAGTTTATTAGGGTGACAATTATTAGTAAAGTTACATAGGTTTCAGGTGTACAGTTCTGTAATACATCATCTATATATCACATTGTGTGTTCACCACCCAGAGTCAGTTCTTCAATAGATGGTAGGATAAAGAAGACATGATATATTGGGTTGTCGGAAACGTCATGATGCATTTTTGCAACGAAAAACACAGAAAAAAATGCATCATGACGTTTCTGACAACCGAATGTATACACAATGGAATACGTCTATGCCATACGAAATGATGCAATAATGCCATTTACAACAACATGGATGGATCTTGAGATTATCATGCTGAGCAAAATATGTCAGACAGAAAAAGTTGACAAAAATTTCACTGATATGTGGGATATAAAACTGAAAACAACAAAGGAACAAGACAAACCAATGAAGAAACAATAACTCATAGACACAGACAATAGTTTAGTGGTTACGAGAGTTAGAGGAGAGAGGGGTGGTAGATGAAGGTAAAAGAGATCAAATATATGGTGATGGAAGGAGAACTGACTCTGGGTGGTGAACACATGACTATTTTTTTATTTGCATTAAAAATGCCTGTATAAGTTCATACATTTTGGATAATTTGTTTTCTTATTTTATTTAATGGGAACTACATCTTCACAAGTAAAGAAAAAATTAAATTGCTTACCATGTTTCAATTGGTTAGTTTGATGCTTAGCAGTCTTTAATTCTTCTACCATTCTGTATTTTTTAGAAAGCTGTCCATGCACTTCATGGCAGGTAGGATCTGCATATGTCCATAGTTTTGTAGGAAGAATGTTGAGAAAGGATATTTCTGTCCTTAATTTTCTTTCCAAATGATTCCAAATTTCTCATATTTTGGAATGACTTTGGGTTAAGTGGTTATCACTGGAAGGTCTGTGTTAAAATACTGTGGCTATTATTAGACATAGATGTTACATCGTTATGCATATGTTTCACTTTATTTCTAAGGGAAAGTAACTCAGAAGTCATAGTCTATCACAAAAGGAGATGGCATAAAGGCTGGACCAAGAAGATGGCCAGATGGAGAGAAACCTGGTTTGAATGAATTGGTGAGAAGCTTCAGGAATCCAGAGGGTAGTAGGAGGGTGTAGGTTTAAGGTTATGATTAGGGTCATAAGAAAGTGGGGGACTGGTCCGAAGAGATATTTTATCTGCTTCAAAACGATGTATTTTCTATCCTGTCAAAATGAATGCAAAACAAAGGACAAAAGGGTTAAAGACTCAGATTTAACTCCCAGTTATTTATGTTTCAATTAAGTATTTTTTCTCTTCTAAATGATGAGTACACTACTATTCTTTTCATATGAAATAATTTTCTTAACTACTCTCTTTTTAAATTTCTCCTATAAAATGGGAAAGCATTTAAAAATCACCAGTGCTAGTTTCCTATTTACTTAAAAAACTAGAACCTGTAAGCCATATTTATAACTCTTGGTTTAAATGTATGCATTTATTCTCATGCCAGAATCCTTTGATGACTAAATATAAGAGTTTAAAAGTTTGAAGAACACAATATTTTGAAAAAACCAGCAATTATATAGTTTTATTCCTCTCAGTATACAATGTGCATGGAGAATTAGTAGAAGAAAAATGTGGGACTTCTTCCTTTGGGAATCCACAAAATGCAAATGTTAAAAGGTTACTTATTAAGATAGATTTTAAGCATGCAGATAGTGTTAAGAATTAAATATTAATTTCACAACTATCTACTAATCTTTAATAAGGATATACACATGGAAAACACCTTATTGGTACTATGGGGAAAAATTCAGGTGTTTTAATTTTTATATTTGAAAGCTATGGGATCTTCATGAAATACAGGAAAATCAATTCTCAGTTTTTAAAATCATGATGAATTTAATTTTTTTGGTTTTCTGTATTTACCATTGTATTACAACATGATATTGCAATGAAAAGTAGGTGGAGAAATGAATATTATTCTTTTCATTTGTTACATGAAGAATATGCACAAAGTATATGTGTACATGACAAGGCCTAATTTTGTGAACTAGTAATACAATTATATTCAATTACAAGGATATGTGATTGAGCAAGTCTTCCCTGGAGACTCATATAAAGAAAAGGCTAGGGTTAGACACTGACTTCAGATAAAAAGTGCCTACTCTTTCTCTGAAGCTAAAAGAAAAGTTGACATAATTTATCCAAAAGGGAATTATTTTCTCTGTTTAGAAAGTTAGAATGGTTTCCTTTTTGCATTTTTAATTTAAGTTTTTAGGCTTAAAAAAAAGATTTTCTCCAATGGAAATAATTTCATAGGCAGACATTCTTTTCTTTTCAGATGTGGCCTGAAAGACAAGCCTGGTCCATCACTCATGATAAAAGTATGTATACTTAATTACTATTATAATTATTTTAATTATATTATAGTATAATATATGTATAGTAACCTATACAAGTCAGAGCTTAGCTCTCTTAGTATGTCTTATTTCCAAGCGAGGTCGTTGGTTTGCCTAATTTTTGGAAATACTGAAAACTAAAATGTTCAAATGGTAAATCACAGGTAAAGAGCATGGTAATGAATAATAGGTACAGAGTGTTTAAACTCTTAGGTAAAATTTGATAAGATGTTTTACATAACTTGAATGAATTGACAAGGCCTTGTGGAGAAAACAGTTCCAGATGGCAAACATACGCAAGGGATTTGGTCAAACAATATTTTGACAAGAACATTATGAATTTTGTAATCACTTAGGAGCCAATGAAATACAAAGATTAGTCTAGTTAATAATCTACAATTATTGGTTAAAGAAGTATATTAGCACTAATTTCCCTCTATTCATCCTACCTTTTCTCTTTTTTTCAACCCCACAAGCCTTAGACACAATGAAGTGGGTAACTTTTATTTCCCTTGTCTTTCTTATCAGCTCTGCTTATTCCAGGGGTGTGGTTCGTCGAGATGCACGTAAGAATTCTATTTTTCTATTGTTTAAATGTATTTTATTGTCCTAGTAAAAAAAAAACGTTTAGTAAACCCTGCATCTTTAAAGAAGTTTTCCTTTAGCATTTATTTCTAGACTATGATGATATTTTGTATTTGTGAACCCACAGGAATTTATCTTACTAATATATTTCTAACATCCTAACTGAAAAAAAAATGGTGAGAATTGTTTAGTAGCTATAATTTCCTTTTGTACATGAAGGAACTTAGAGTGACTTAAACTTCACAGAATATAGTTGAAGATATAATTGATAACTTCAAATTCTCGAAGCCCTGTCCACTGTACCTTGATGTGTTAAGAAAACAACAAAACTTGTGTTATTAATCTTGTAAATAAAACTTGTATTATATTTTTCTTTTCAGACTGTCCTCTTTGTAGCTGTTAATAGACACTAACAGCATTAGATCTTATCAAAGTTTGAATATAAAGCTACAAATATTTAATGATTCAAATGATTTTTCAAATAGTATCATTGGTGATTGAATAGCTTTTGTTTAAAAGGACCCATAGTTCACTGTCATTTTAATATTTTCTGTAGGGATCAGAGCTCAATATTTTAGAGCAAATGAATACCTAATTCAAATGGAGAGAAACATAAAAAGTAATATCCCAATCAGTTGTTTTAATCAGACTTCAAATAAATCTTTTTTTTCCCCCAGACAAGAGTGAGATTGCTCATCGGTTTAAGGATTTGACAGAAGAATATTTCAAAGGCCTGTAAGTTAAAATACTGAAGAGTCAAATTTAATGTTTCTAATAGCATTGGTTATTACTTAAAAATTCTTATAACCCCCTGTCATCAGAATCCAGAGTAGAATTTTCTGCACTGGAGAAAATATTCTATTATCAGTGTTATCCAATATGGTAGCCACTGGCCGCATATAGCTGTTGAGTACTTTAAATATGGCAAGTTCAACTGAGGTACAAAAATTTAAATTGTGTTTAATTTTAATTTGTTCAACTTTATATAGTCACAGGTGGCTAATGGATACTATGTATTGGAAAGTGTAGCTGTGGCACTCTTATATAACATGTATGATGGGAAAGACTTTATTTAATATATGGTTTTTATTGCAGCACACATTAAATTTCTTTACCTAGCAAACAGATCTGTGGTTTCTTGAAAACATTTTAATATTTTTTAATCTAGTAAAAAAATGAAAAAAATAATTTATTTTTTTAAGGTCACTCTCATTCTGTAGCCTCATTAAATGAAATGTGTGTGTATGTGGATTTTGTTTTTTGTTTTAAATAGTCAAAAGGCCTATGTAATGCCCCTTGTCTTAACAATTAGATCTATTTAGAATACATTTTGCTTGTTAGTTCTATATGTGTGCATCTACTCACACATGTTTAAACATGGTGGAAATACATATCCTCTTTGCTTCGAAAGCCACATATGCCTGGTTAGGCCTCAGATGATAGCTGATGTGACTAGGCTTTCTGGATAATAGTAAGATATATAAAATATAGAACATATTCTTCTCTAATATAACAACCTACTTTATATGCGGATTTTATTGCACTACATTTTTCTATGTCGTTTGTTGCAGGGTGCTGGTAACCTTTTCTCAGTATCTCCAGCAGTGCCCATTTGAAGAACATGTAAAATTAGCAAATGAAATAACTGAGTTTGCAAAAACATGTGCTGCTGATGAGACAGCTGCTAATTGTGACAAGACACTTGTAAGTACAGTCTGATTTTGAATCTTAGTTCTTCTCTTAAGTAAGCTTGAGCATTTCAAAGGGAAAACAATCCCATTTTAGTTTTCTCAATTATTACTAAATGACCATATTTGTAAGCAACAGTCAAAAGTGGGTAGAGCTGTTGTTTTTTTCTGTGATAGAGACATGCTAGCTATACCCACAGTTTTAATAACATTTCTTTATGGAGACCACACACAGTGGTTATCGTGTATTTAAATGGAAAGTTTTTCATTTGTAAAAGTCTCTTTTTAAAACCTGAAGTTTGATTTCTTTTCATAGAGGTTAGTAGTGATAGCATGTTTTTTAATCTACAGAAAACACTTAACTGAGTTCTGCACTAATTTTTGTTACCTGGATAAAATAATACTACAGCTATGTATTCCTTGTGTTAGGGATATTTGTATTTTTACATACAATAAATTACTGAGACATTCATTTATTTTAAAGAACTTTTAGCTTTTGCTATTTCCAAAAAGGCCTTTAACATAAGAAAAGGTTAATGTTTCTCTTACTACTAGATTTGTATATACTTTTTTGGGGGCAAGTCCATTTTTTAATTACCACTTAAGTTTTTCCTTCTCTTATTTCTCTTTATATGTATCTTTCTCTCTCAAGCCAGAATCAATACTTTAATTCCACACAATAATATGGCTCTATATATGAATTTTTAAAAATGCATTTTTTGAAAATTAATAAATTCTGTCTTGAGCAGTATATTTTCCCTGGAATTACAATTACTTCCATAATAAAAATTAATAGTGATGGAAAGGATTCATTTAATGAAATGTGCTTCGAGGCAAATATTTCTAAAACAAAAAAGTTCTTTATTTTAATGCAATATCAATTAAAATACAGTGTGTTGTGTTACTCCTCGGTTTTTGAATGGTATTTACTAAAAAAATGGACATCTCACAAAACAGATCAAATGAGAAACTATCTGAACACTTTTCTCCCTAATGTGAATTTGGCTGCTCCTTAGAGGATTATTTTTGCCTGATTTTTAAATTATGATTGCTCTCCTAGACTTTAACCTCAAGTGGAAATTAGAGTAACATTTATTCCTTAAAGCCATTGACTGTCTTTTTTGCCTTTTTGTTTTTCTACTATAATTAATAGTGTGACAGTTAATTCTTAAAGCATTACACATAGATAGTCAAATCAAGGAAAACTCTCTCCAAACCTGCGAAAAAAGTGGATTTTTATATGGTTTCCGAACCAAGGTTTACCAGTATATTGCATTTTTCACACTATCCTTTGGGTATAAAGACAATAAAATACTGCCTAGCAATTTGAAGCCTTCTGTCTTCCATTTAGCATACTCTTCTTGGAGACAAGTTGTGTACGGTTGCATCTCTTCGTGCCACCTATGGAGACATGGCGGACTGCTGTGAAAAACAAGAGCCCGAGAGAAATGAATGCTTCCTGAAACACAAAGATGATAACCCAAATCTCCCTGCACTGGTGAGACCAGAGCCCGAGGCCCTGTGCACTGCCTTTCAGGAAAATGCACAGAAGCTTTTGGGAAAGTAAGTAATCAGATTTTTAAGCTTCAAAATGAAAAATTATGAAATAGTTCAAGACTTACTATAACAAAATATTTTCAACATTAAGACTTAGAAGCTTTTGTTTTAATGGCAGATTTTGAAGAAGTAATATTTGATACTATAAAATTTTAGACAATAAAAATTTGATCAAAGATCTTTTGGAATTCATTGCAACAGGATATGATCTGTAGGAAAAAAATTGAGATTGATATGTATTACAACATTATGAAGATATATGTTTAGTTATTCTCAGAATTAATTTTATTTTAGTCAATAATCTTATATCACCAATATTTAACTATTTTATGTGTATGTGTGTGTATATATAATTTATATATATGTTTAACCTTTTCATTGACTTAAAGAATGATAAAGGCAAGATCATCATGTGCAAATGGAGCTTAATGCGTAAATGAGATGTCTTTGGGTTTTGGGGAAAATATTGATTATAATTGTTCCTGTAATGCTGTTTGATTAATTGTCTGTTCTCTTAAAAAAAAAATCTAGGTACTTATATGAAGTTGCCAGAAGACATCCTTACTTTTATGGCCCAGAGCTCCTTTTCTATGCTCAAAAATATAAGGCAGTTTTAACAGATTGCTGCCAAGCTGCTGATAAAGCTGCCTGCCTGGGACCAAAGGTATGCCACAGAAGAAGTATAGAACCAGCTCAGCTTCAAACTTTGATTTAGGGCATCTTATGGCTAGATTTAGGGAAACTAAATCCCTGATATAAACTTCTTTACTTGGCTAAAAAACTCTTCCTCACTCTTATCCATCCCAGTTTTGCCAAAATGGATTGATAGAGGGAATTACCGTGTCTAAATATCCCTCCTCTTTTTATGGTGCTGGTCATTATAGTGAAATACAGAATCTCATTTGTAAAATTGTGCAGCAAAGGACCACAGTTCTTTTTTATCTTTTCCTGATCCTTTCTTATTGGGGAGGGAATTCAAAGTGGAGAATTTCACTGCATCTGGAAGTCTGGATTTATTAATTCATTCTATGAATATTTATTATATACTGCATCATATTTTCTAAGGTGTTTATTGATGTGAGAGTTGATAGAAGAGGGATTGAAATGAATGATATGCAAAATTAAGAAGTCAGCAAAATTATAGTCCCTAGGATATGAGTGTACTCTGTTCTTCCACCTTTTCCTTCAGTCCCCTTTTCCCTGGCAATGCCCACATTCTGGTCTGTAACTACCTAGAGGCTTCCATTATGACCACATTGGTTTTCCCTCTTTCTACGTAGTAAAATAATGACTTGCCTATAGCGAATGCTTAGGAATTTAGGTGTACATTATCTCTTTAAAATTTAATTTGACTTAGTCTCACCTGAGCTTCTGAAGGGGTGTTTCATGTAGAATTTTTTTCTTAATATTTTCAAAATTATTTCTTTTTGCAGCTGGATGCTTTGAAGGACACAGTACTGACTGCATCTGCCAAAGACAGACTCAAATGCTCTAGTCTTGAAAAATTCGGAGATAGAGCTTTCAAAGCATGGTAATTTGAATTTAGTTTTGTGCTACATAATGATGTAAATGATGATGGTTCAGTTGACAACATTGTATATTTATATAGCTTTTCACACAGCATTTTCACATACATCTTTTTGGTTATCTAAAAGGTAGAAATTTAACAGAAATGAAAATCAGAGCATAAATGACAATTTGTCATTATTTTTATCATATTTTTTTCAAAGTAGTCGAAGAGTTCAGAGGGTATTTTTTTTGTTGTTCTTATAGGACAGGTATTTGAACTTCTATTTATTTATAAAGACTAGGGATTTTATTCTAATGGTCCACTATTTTTATAGAGTTGTAGTCAGAGTCTTTTATTTATTTTTATCTCCTCCTGTCTCCTGCAATTATCTAAAGTATTTGATTGTCCTTTTATGTTCTGATAATTAAATTCAGCCATTAAGGTTACTTCTCATTTTCTCATAGCTCCAGCTATGTTCTTAATTTCTTTTTTTAAACTTGGCCTCTATTTTTATATTACTTAGCTAGTTCTAGGAATATCCTTAAATATCTGAGCAACAACCCCCCTCTCCCACTCCTCACCTGCTAGTCAACAATTAATCAACACAAACAGAGATAAACTGAAAACAACAGACATGTTGCAAAGTCTTTAGAAACTATCATTTGAACTATCTTTGCTTGTCACCTCTACCATCTAACCACCAAAATCAAACAAATAAATAAACAAAACAACCCCAATGTAAAACAATACAGTTAAACACACTGTGATTGGTTTGGGGGAAGAAGTATCTTTCATCAGATTTAAGCAACTGTGAAGTGATCTGTGAAAGCATGTGAATATTAGCATTTTGCATCTTGTCATAGGGCTTAGAGACTGTGCTATATCAATTTCTTGGTAAAAGTATGCTTAATCAAAACTCCCTAATTTTGTATAAGTTATGAAACTTTTTTGTCTTGTCCTTCAGAAGTCAGGGAGAATGCATTTTAATTGTAAAAAAAAAAAAAAAAAAAAAAAAAAAAAATAACTTGAGTTTGTATGGCACTCTCCAGTTAATCAATTTCTTGGTAAAAGTATGCTTAATCAAAACTCCCTAATTTTGTATAAGTTATGAAACTTTTTTGTCTTGTCCTTCAGAAGTCAGGGAGAATGCATTTTAATTGTAAAAAAAAAAAAAAAAAAAAAAGAAAAAGATAACTTGAGTTTGTATGGCACTCTCCAGTTAATGAAATGCTTTTATATGCATTATCTAATTTAATCTTCATGACAATTCTTTCATTTGGCATGCTGCTGTGACTCTGTTAGGGGCTGCAGCTCAGACATTCTAAATAACTTACCTAGGATCACACTCCTAAAGCAATCAAGTCAGACGTGGGCTCCAAGCCTGATGCTTCTATGTATGTCACTTTCTGTAGAATCCCTTTTTGATTTTTGAGTTTATGAATTGCTGGACTTCTTTCTATCCACCACACACTCTTACAATGGATACTCCTGCCCTAAGGAAACATTTTGCCCTAAGATAACATTTGGTTCAGAACTAGCACTAAAACAAGAACTAATGAATTTTACAAATTATATTTATGTTATTTTGTCCTGAGTTTTCTTGTTATAAGTAGTATTTTCCTAGTGCTTTCACATACAGTATTGCATGTTCATAAAATTTTCATGGGGGAATTTTCCTTTTAGGACCGTAGCTCGCCTAAGCCAAAAATTCCCCAAGGCTGATTTTATGGAGGTTTCAAAGCTTGTGACAGATTTGACCAAAATCAACAAGGAATGCTGCCATGGTGACCTGCTTGAATGTGCAGATGACAGGGTAAAGAATTCTCAGTATTCTCTCTGGTAGCTTACATATTTCAGTTGCTAGAATGAATTCGTTTAATATAATGGTGACGGCTGGCAGTGAATTGAAATTGTCTTCTCTGCCTAATCTGCTCAGTCCTTTCCCTGCCTTGTGGTACTTTTTTTGGGGGGTAAACCTGGCTATCCCACTCACTAAATTATCTGATAAACACTTTCACTAATTTGTAATCCTTGTCAGTCACATTCTAACTGAGAACAAAGGCTTAAACTGAAGTAGGGCAGCTACAAAGGTAGATTTCTAAGATTTTTTTGGGAGGTGGGCAGAGTTGGAGAAGAACTGGTACCTGAAGAGATCTTTGGAAATTATGTAAAATTATGTAATCCCCCCCCCATATTCTCCCTTAATTAACTGTGTTAAATATACAAATATTGGACATGATGTCTCTTTTTCCAAAACTTCGGTATGTGACCAGATACCAGAATTAATCTGTCATAACATTTTCTGGAAATTTTAAGGCAGATATTTTACATGTGTAAGTAAGGCCTGTGACTATGATCTTGACTAATTTTTCAAAAATCTCTCACACTTTATTTAGTTATTTGGTTTCAAAATGCCTGCACTTAATTTGGGGAATATTCTGAAAAACAGTACTGGGTTTTATTAAAAAACTTAAATGCCTTAGCAGTAAAAATCTAAAATTAATAAATAACTGACATGGTCCCCTGTTACTGACTAGTTTTTTTAATCGAGTGGAAATGCTTTAGTTGTTCTATCTGAGTCTCCAGGCTTAGGAGCACAGACTGACAATGTTCAGAGAAGGCAATGTGTCTGTTCTTAGAGTCCAATGGACGTGTTTCACCAACAATAAAAGTCTGGAGAGAAAGTGTAGTGATGTTAATTTTATGTTGAACAATTTTCATCAACTTGCTTATAGATGGATCTTGTCAAGTATATATGTGACAATCAAGATTCAATCTCCAGTAAACTGAAGGAATGCTGTGGTAAGCCCGTGATGGAAAAATCCCACTGCCTTCTTGAGGTGGAAAATGATGATTTGCCTGGTGACCTGGCCCCGTTATCTGCTGATTACGTTGATGATAAGGATGTTTGTAAAAACTATAAGGAAGCAAAAGATGCCTTCCTGGGCACGTAAGTGGATTAGGAATTATCCTTTCATAGCTTTTATATGGTCTGAGGGTTTAGGATGCTATTCTAGACTTTCCTTTGGAGTTGTTATAATTTCCATGTTGCCTACAATTCTTTTTTTTCCTTCCCTTTGCCAGCCTTTACATTTTTTGAAAAAAAATTAATGGGTTTTAAAAAATTGTACTAAAATAATAACTGTTTATGGCAAAATCAAAATCATTAGAAAAGAGTACAAAGTAATAAGTACAAGTTTCTATTTTTAGCCCCTCCTCTCCCCCCCCTCCCCATTCTTACTCCTTAGTGGTATTTCTGGAAATACCTCTACAGTTTGTGTATACATAAATTATGTACGTGTTCTTTATTTATTCATTCAAAGATTATTTATTGAACCACTATAACATATATGTGTGAATATACATAATACATCTTTATATCTGTCTACCCATCTATCTGTCATCAATCATATATCTCTCTATCTCTTGGCAACAAAGAAGTATAAAGAGAAGTGTGGAGTTTGCTAACAGGTGCTTTATATTTAGAAAGATCAGAAGTCCAGTAGCATGGCAAGGCAGCATACAATTAAATGCCAAAATAAATGATTATGTGTAATCAGTACGTGTGGTGATAAATTTTGCATTTTTATTGTTAGATTATAATAGTATTTTGTGCACTAAATAATATTTCATAAAAGTGTATACTCTTCAATATTTCACTCTGGGAAGAAAAATAAAGTTTTAAGAATGTATCTCTATTTATCTGTCAGAAGCCTTTTTGAGGTATAGTCCAAATCAAACAAAATATACATAATAAGTGTCATCAAACATTTAAAATATGCCAGACAGTGTGTGTTATGCATAGATTATGTCATGTGTTTCTCACAATCTACTTTATGAGATAGATGCTATTATTATCCCCATTCTAAAGAGGAGGAAACTGAGGCTGTGATAATTTTAATAAATTGCCTAAGGTGATACAGTAAAATAAGTTGAAGAGCCAGGATTTAAATGAAGGTAGCTTTATCTCTGAACCCCTAGCCTTTAGCCACCAAGCTTTACTGCATGGGGTTTATTTAGTCAAATTGAGACCTTTGAGATATAAGCTTCTTTTGTGGTTATTTATGTTAGTTTTCTTGCTTATTTGTTCAACAAAAATGTATTGATTTTCATCTTAATTAGGTTTTTGTATGAATACTCAAGAAGGCACCCTGAATACTCTGTTTCATTGCTATTGAGACTTGCCAAGACATATGAAGCTACACTGGAGAAATGCTGTGCCACCGATGATGCCCCTGCATGCTATTCTAAAGTGGTAGGTTTCTCAAAGGAAAAAACAAAATGTAGCTCTTTGGTAATTCCAATAACAAGAAAAATAATGCAAAACATTATATAGTGCGATTTAGATATTTTCTTGAGTTGGTTTCAATTTTGTGCTCTTAAACATTTTAGGGGAAAAAAATAGCCTAAAACAGAATGGTTAATAAAACCTAGAATAGTTTAGAAAAAAATACCTGAAGAGAGCAATCTCTAATTTTATGAAATCTCAACCATGCCTTTCTCTTTTTTACACTCCTGAGAACAAAATAAGGTAAAGTAAATTAAATGTTAATTAAAAGATTTAACTTAGATATAAAGTTAGCCTGATTCCAAGATTTATCAAGTACCAAGAATTAGTATCTTAAAGGAAGGTTGTGAAATCTGTTCATTTAGAATATTTTCAAATTTTTTTGAGAAGGCTTAGGAATGGTTTGACAAGAAATTAAGTAAGAAGAGGAAATCTGTTCTGGAGGAGTTTTAACATATTTTAGCATGTTTAGGATATTTAGCACTTTTAACTTATATAGTGGTTTCCAAACTTTTGAATCAGAAGAAAGTCATTCTTTCCTCTATGAAGAAACTGCTGTATGCCAGGTACCATGCTGGAACTGATGACCAAGGTAAAATCTCTCATTTTGGAGAGCTCAGAATCCAACCGGAGAGATGGATTGATAATAATAATACTTACAATCATAACTATCACTTATTGAGCTTTTATTATGTTCTGGACACTGTTTTAATTTCTTTAACTCAGGTGGCTTACAGAGTAATTCTCTGAAGTGAGCACAATCTTCTTCCTCATATTAGAGATGAGGTTTCTAAACCTTGGTGATTGGAAGTAAAGTTGCACAACTAGAAAATAAGTCAGATGGCCTGGATTAAAGGCCAGCAGTCACACTCCAGAGCTTGAATATTTTTAATCACTTATACTATACAGTTTGTATATTTTATAATAGCCTCTGGTCCTCAGGTGGAATCCTGTAAACACAATTCTTTTATCTTTCAGTTCGATGAACTTAACGCTCTCGTGGAGGAGCCCAAGAACTTAGTTAAACAAAACTGTGAGCTTTTTGAACAAGTTGGAGAGTATGGCTTCCAAAATGCGTATGTATTTTTGTTTACTGACTAATTTTTTTCTTGATCAATTTGTAATTATTTGATTTATTATATAGATCACTTGTCATATAATTTTTAATCTTGAAAATACAGTATATATTTATAATCCCTCTCTATCAAGAAAAGCTGGAGAAGGAGATAAAATAGTTGATGGGATGAAGGGGCTTATATCTGAGTGCAGTTTAAAAAACTGGCCTCTTGAGACTGGGAGGGAAAATACTAAATCTTGGGATATAAGAACTGAGGATGCCCTGTGAAGGTTATGGAATACTTTATTGGCAAACAAAATTCAGCAATGCTATACAAAAGAAATAGTTGGCCTTGCATAGCAGTAGCTCAAGAAGTATTGTAACATATAAGTTGATAGACTAATGCCCTGATCAAATAGAGCCTTATCTATGGAGGTAAAGATAATAAGGGACACATCATTAGGTAGATATTTATTGTTCAACTTGCACATGTCAGCAGTCTTCTAACTGTGGGTGCTAGGGAACAACAGTTAGAACCACAGTGAACAAGCCTCTTCCCTTGAGTAGATTACAGTCATACATCGACTTTCAATGGTGACTGGCATTCTTAACAAATGATTGTTATATGTTAGACACCATGCCAGGTTGATTACATACTTTATTTCTTTTAATCTTGCACCATCCCTATTGAGTCAGGTATCTTTCCTCCCATTTTATAGATGAGAAAATTCATTTGTATCCTTCAAATTTAGCATAGTGCTGATGTATATTAAGCTCTCAGTGGATTTTATTGAAAGAAAGAAGCAATTAATAAGTACATAAATGTCACTGAACTATAGTAAGTTAAGTCACCTTCCTAACATTATACAACACAGGTGCAATTCAAAGTTAGGCTTAACTAGTTACTCAGGACAAGGTCTTCCCCCACACTACCCCACCAACCTGGAGATGGAGATAATTTTATGAATGGAAATCATTTAAATTGATTTTGGCTAAATGTTCTTTGCTTTATGTACTATGTGAGAAAAAAAAAGTTTTTTGCTTGGCTGAAAACACCTGGAATGTTTTGTTACAGGCTCATAATCCGATACACCAAGAGAGCACCCCAGGTGTCAACTCCAACACTTGTGGAAGTTGCAAGGAATCTAGGAAAAGTGGGCACCAAGTGTTGTACGCTGCCTGAATCAAAAAGAATGGGCTGTGCTGAAGACTATGTGAGTCTTTTAAAATCTAATAAGTTAATAATGATGAATTTTTTGCCTTTGGATATTGACAAAGCTAACTTTCAGAAGCAGGAGTGAACTAACGTGTGTGTGTGTGTGTGTGTGTGTGTGTGTGTGTGTGGTAGTGAAAGCCAGGACTTGATCCCCTATTATCCTTACCATCAGAATGAAAATTTAGATAAGATTCCAAAGATGATAAGAAGCTGTTTTGGAAAAATTCCATGAATTTTCAATGTTGCATCCTGGCATTTAAAATTTTTTCGCTTTCCTTGCATTTTTTCCCCTAATGTATCAGTATAAGGCTGGTTTTCTGCCACTTGAACACATACCTTAGGGCTCACCTCAAATTATTTTAATCAATTATTTTCGCAAGTGAATTATTTTTAAAACGTAGACACTTAAAAAATACTTTTTAATGTCCCTTATTATTTGTAGTTCTAAACATAAGCAAATCACTGCCTCAAATCAACCTTGGATTCAGTGTTGTTAGTTAAAATACAATGATTCATTTGGTCCATTGGAAAGTAGGAGTTCATGGAAAACTTTTAATTATGATTCTTTTGAATTTCTGCTCTCCTCCTTGGTCTTTAGCTGAACGTAGTCCTGAACCGATTGTGTGTGTTGCACGAGAAGACACCAGTGAGCGAAAAAGTTACCAAATGCTGCACAGAATCCTTGGTGAACAGACGGCCATGCTTTTCTGCTCTGGGAGTCGATGAAACATATGTTCCCAAAGCTTTTAATGCTGAGACATTCACCTTCCATGCAGATGTATGCACACTTCCTGACAATGAGAAACAATTCAAGAAACAAACGTGAGGAGTATTTCATTACTGCTTGCATTTGTAGTCTTGATAGTGACAACTATACATTGAAATGAGTAACTTTTCCTGAAGTACTGTGATTATATTCCTTATAAAAGATTATTTAAGTATTGGCCTTATTAAGGTGATAAAAATGTCAGGAATAAAATGATAGGCTTTTGTTATCTTAGAAAAACAAATAGCAAAACCCCCCAAACAAAACTATATTATAATCTTGCCTTGAAGTCCTTCAGAATAATCTTGTGAATAAAAGCTTCAGTAGAATAATATCTTAGGACAGGTCCAGTAGAAAAAGCTGATCAATTAACTGATGCATTTGTTCAGATAGCAAATTCATTAGTAGAAACCACAGAAGAATTTATTTCTAGGCATAAAGGATTATTTTAAGTTTGTTCTATGAAAACCCACAGGCAAGATAAACCCCCCCAAGATTTAGCTTTTGAGGATGGAATTTTGATGAAAAAAAATGTAGAAATGTGAGTTCTGAGGCTTGACTCCCTACTGCTGTCACAAGGGGTTAGAAATGCAATATTAAGTTGCTATTATCTCTGGTGGGTTCTGATCATGGCCGTAGACTTAAGAGAAATATTGCAAAACCTATTGTGCCCATGCGACTCTCTCTAGCACTATAATCTCTGCAGATGTCAATGAAAGAGAACAACCAGCTCCCATGAGTTTGGATAATTTGATTTCCCATGGCCTCCCCACTCTTCACTTAGAATGGGCCAAATTTCAAAGGCCAAATATAAAGATTCTCAGATTAGAAACTTTTAAATAGAGTCTAAGATAATTAAGCTTTTTAAACATCCTTTTTTAGCTTTTAAATCACTGTAAACTTCAATGTGGCATAACTTTCAAAATCTGAAAAATTTCTAAATGCAATGACATAAGTCTTTCCAAAGATTTAGCTGAAAAGAGATTGGTTGACACTAAACATGTTTAGCAATTTACATTGATGATTTCATTCGATCCTTCCACAAATCCTATGAAGGTAGATTTTATTTTCCTCATTATGCCAATGAGAATGTTGGAGCTTACAGTGGTAAACCTGGGCCCCCAGCTCAGGCTTGCCTGGCTCCAAGACTTACAATCTCAAACAACAGCATTACTCTCTTTACCATCTCCATTTCTCTTTATGTGAGTAACCGTTTCCCTGTTTTGTTCTGTTTTTATTCAATGCAGTGCACTTGCTGAGCTGTTGAAACACAAGCCCAAGGCCACAGAGGAACAACTGAAAACTGTTTTGGGGGAATTCACAGCTTTTATGGAGAAGTGCTGCACAGCTGCTGACAAAGAGGCCTGCTTTGCTGAGGAGGTACTGGAGTTGTCTTCATTTTAATCTATCTAATTTCCTTTGTTGTTGCATCTGATCAGGCTAGGGCTTAGGGGCTTATATATCTGCAGGACATTCTGTACATGTGGGACAGGAATCTTATTCTACATACGGTTGTCTGACAAAATGACAAATAGCTCTCTCTCTCTCTCTCTCTCTCTTTTAAATCTCCTGCTGCACTAGAGCATATTATTAAATGTTTGCTATATTTGTTCATTTTCCAAAGTCGTGATGTTTAAGAATACAGATAGAAGTATTTGGAAGTTCTGAAATCTTTTGGTAAAGACATCATTAAACCAAAACATTAATTTATTTAAGTATTTTCTTTAAAAGTGCTGGTTTGTGATTTGGTTGAATCTGAGTGCTTGATTTTACAGGTTAGTAGGGAAGTTTATATTTAAATGTGTCAGTCATTTAATATTTTCCCCTATGACTTAACAGTAATGTTTTTATTTCTCTGGGGACAATGAATGTCAATAGGTTTTCTTCTAGAGATTCTAGTACTAAGCTGGAATTAAATGATGTGATATATGTAAAATTACTTTGGTTTTTTTTTTTTAAGATTTTTTTTTATTGGGGAATTGGGATGGGAACAGTGCTGGGGAATTGGGGGAAGGAGAACAGGCAAGTTGCTGTCGTTTTGTTCTTCAGTCTAGTTGTGGAGGATGTTGCTTCACTGGCCCAAGTTGACACCATCATTGAGCTCTTCCCGGGCGAGGCAGATCAGTCGCCGGCTTCTGGACGGCCGCTCACGACAGCTGCTGGCCGTTCATGCTGGCTACTGGCTACACACGGTAGCCCATGGCAACCCACTGCCACAGGGGCTGCAGCCTATGCCGTGGCCGGCGACTCACGGCAGCCCAGCTCCAGGTTGAGCTGTTGTTCAGCATCTTAGCTGTAGAGGGCAGTGTCACTGGCCCTCATATGTGGGATCCGAACCGGGGCCCTCTGGCGTCCCAAGCCAGCTCTTAACCATCGCACCACTCAGCCAGCCCCGTAAAATTACTTTGTAATCACCAATGGCTGTATAAATGTTAATTTTTTATCCTGAATATAATGCTAATATTTTCTCCAAATCTGTCATTTCTTTGTATTCAGGGTCCAAAACTTGTTGCTTCAAGTCAAGCTACCTTAGCATAAAAACAACACAATCACCCTCCAAGCTTCTCAGGTAACTATACTCTGGATTTTAAAAAAGTAATTATAATAGTTATTATTAAAAAGCAAAGACCATTTGTTAAAAGCCACATAGACCAACCCCTGTTCTAAGCTCCTTAGTGGGATGTGTTCAGGCTGGAGGATATGAAATTGCATTTTTGTAGGTTAAAAAGAGGTGAGTGACAATGATTTTACAAGGTTCAACCTAATAGCTCAATAACAAAGTCATTTCATTGGAGAATATGATAGATCTATCTTATATGCATTTCTACTTAACAGTAAATAATCTGCTATAAGTTTGCAGTGTGTCAATATGCAGAGTTTTAATAAAATTTTCTCTTCTTATGACAAAAAGACCCACTTTAAAATTCAGATGTTTGACTATAAACATATTATATCCATTTTGGTTGTAATATTTGGGGGGAAATTAAAAAGTAGAATGAACTTGCATTTTTAAAACAAGTGTACAACTGTTTTTTAGCATGAATTATTTTCATACTGACTGTGATGTCTATTTCACGACTAGGTTTTAACTTATCCTTTGCCCACACAATAACACCTGTGAATTGTGCATTACGACAAGGAAGCAACTTTGAAGCTCTGGGAATTTGGTCATTTCAAAATGTGATTTGTTTTAGTCCTAAATGTCAAGATTTTTATTCCCAGAGGTCTAACTTGAAGAAGAAACCTTGTTTGTTTGTAATTAACTTAGACAAGAAATAGGTGTTAGGAAAATGACTCTGAGGAGCGAGGATGAAAACCTGTGACTTCGAAGCTTGAGAAGTCCAATGACATCAGTAATGAAGAGAGACTTTGCAATACTTACTGGGGTGTCCTTTCCCCTAGCCCAACAAAAGAATTCAGCTGCCATGAGTCTAGGGCAAGCTTGAATTATTATCATTGGTGGACATTGCAAAAAGACAGTCAAAGCAATTAGGCATTCATTTAAGTAGATTTGGATAACACATGCTATTTTACAAGCAGTACTTCTATTTTTTTTTTCAGCTTGCCCTGGAGTAAGAGAAAGAAAGAGAAATGAAGACCCAGAGCTTATTCATCTGTTTTTCCTTTCATTTGGTGTAAAACCAACAGCCTGTCTAAAGACCACAAATTTCTTTAAACATTTAGCCTCCTTTCTCTGTTCTGCAATTAATAAAAAAATAAAAATAATCTAATGTAATGGTTCAGGACTGTTGTTTTTCAAAGAAAGAATGCCATCCTGAAAATTTTGTAGGTTCTGTGAAAGTCCCACTGTTTTCTATTTCCTCACTTCAGTGGAGGACTTCTAGTTTCGAATGGGTTAATTAATTAAAAGAAACATTAATACGCTTCTGAGTTACGGACTGTAAACATTTGAAGTAATATTTTAACATTATGAAAATTCTGAATAAAAAAATAAAGATTGTGATACATGTAGGGCATATAAAACAGCTTTTAGTTACTATTAGAACTCTCTAAGCAACGTGAGGAACAAAGAAGATAGAGATGATTGTAAGGATAGTTAATTGAATGGGGGAAAAAAATGCTGATCCTAAAAGAAATGTAAGATATTGGGTCATAGGGAAAGTCATGACACATTTTTGCATTGAAAAACATAGAAAAATTCGTCATGATTTTCCTGACAACCCAATAGTTTAGGATGACAATACATGAAGAATATAAGAAGTTTAACAAGTTTGGAGTGGAAGAGAGGATTAGGAGACTTGGACAAAAGTACACTAAGGAAAATTAAGATGTTATATTTAATATCGGGCCTCTTTTCCCTGTCCCAGAGGTAACCACTGATATTAGACCATTATGTACGAATTTACATACTTAGAAGTCATTTATAGCCTTATTACTTTGTATATATTGTTTTATTTTTATAGAATTGGCTTCATAGTATACATGCTATTCCACAACTTGTTTACTTTGTCCCTAATAATAATGCTTTATAGTTTTAAGTATGAGGCTTGCAAAATATTTTGGTAATAAGTTTAAAAAAAAAAGGCTCTTTCCATATCTGGAATGTTACATTCCACACTCTGCCCCACCCCCACCCAACCTCCTCTTTGGCCTCATGTTGATTGTATCATATACTTGTTCACATTTTTGCAATCATCACAAATGTCAGAGAGCCTGGGAGGAGAGAACTGGAAATGGGTAGCTTGTTGAGGGTTCCGGAGACAGACTTAGAATATTTTGAGTAAGGCATTCCCATACACCTGGGCCCACATGGGGCTAGATATGAGTACCCGTGCCTGGATGGTATTGCAGGTCAGGCACTGAGGGGAGAATTAAAAGTTTTGGAGAAAGATGTTCCAAAATGCGGGACCCCATGAGCCTGGCTTCCCCTGCTTCCTGCAGGGCCAACCATTTCCAGAATTGCCCAGACATTTGAGCCTAAGAGAGATCCGGGAGCACAAGGGTCACCGTGCATCTGAGACGGTGGCCTCACAGGTACATTGTTCTGGCTGGCTAGCTTTCATAGTGTGTCTTTTGCTGCACAGTGCAGGAGATTGGCCACTAGAATGGTGTAGACACACTGGTGTGTGTGTGTGTGTGTGTGTGTGTGTGTGTGTGTGGTGTTCTTCTCATTTCCTATCAGCAGGTACATGATATCCAAATGATTTATCACTAGGGATGTTAAGATTGAGCACTTGGTTAAGGTAGTGTTTGCCAGCTTTCTCCACTGTACAGTTATTACTTTTTCCCTTACTACATCTATTTTTGGAAGCAAATCACTAAATCCAGTTCACACTCAAAGGGAGGGGAGGAGGAGAAGAAGTTCTTGGAAGGAGGAATATCAACATATATATTCAGAATTCTTTTGTACAAAAGATTTGTCACCTCATTTATCTATTTATTCAATTATTTATATCACTATGAAGTCACATATATTTATTTTATACTTTGGGTTATAACTCAATGCTATCCTATTTATTTTGTGACTTTAATTCTTCTAGCTCTGGCTTTTGGGGGTTCTCAAGTTGGCTGCTTATGCCCCTTTGACATGCCCCTAAACTTTGTTGAATTCTTCTTAAATTCCTGGCGTTATGAGTGGATTCAGGCTCGTCTTGCATTTCCCCTTCCCTAGACCTGTAAACTGCCATTTTTTTCAAAGAGCCCTGGTTCTGTTTAATACCGAATGGTATAAGAAACAAAGTTCAGAGCACTGGGTGTGCTCACTCCTGATGGGATAGCACTACTTCTAGACTGATTCAGGGAACAGTGCTAAGAAATGTATGTTTGTATACTAACCCACGTACGTACACATGCCTGTAATTATTTCTGTGTTGATTGTTCTGTCTATCCATCTGTCTATCCATCAGACAGATGAGCTAAATAAGGCTCATACTGATGTCTCTGACTGCTGCAGAACCCCAGAGTTTACCTGAGCCTCCCCCACCTTGCTTACTTGTAACTTCCTTTTTGATGGTGAGAAACTGGGCTCCCACTATCTATCATCCATTTACTTATTTGTTCAGCTCCAGGATACATGTGAAGGAGTTTTAGAATTGTTGACCCATCCCTTCATGAGAAACAAATTTACAACTAGAGACAGTGTTTATGTACAGTTCCTTTTGTCTTTAGCTTTATAGTTTCCAGTCAAAACATCATTTCCCAACATTACTTAGATCAGCTCTATTTTCCCCCTACCTTCTTCAGTGAGATTATAACTGATGAGTTTTGGGTGACTCACTCACGTTGGACACAAGGTAAGTTTGGGGTCTGGGCTGTTGATTGACTTTTGGGGTGATCTGCATGTGTGGGCAGCTGTTTCCTGCGTTCCAATAGAGCAGCCTCTGTCAACAGTACACAAAGGTGGCAGGGTGCTCCCTGACACTGGCACCCAGGGTGATCACTCCAGTTCTTCCACAAACTTCACATCAAATGTCATGCAGTCTTCAGGGATGGACATGTCCATCTCTTTCGAGGGCTTTGGAGGCCATTACTCTGTAACGCCCCTGGGTCCTTTCAGTTAATGTCCTCTTGTGCCTCTGTAAATGTGGTCACATTGTCATATTGTGCTCCCCTGGTCTTAAGCCCTGTCAAGCATGCCTCACAGGAATGGGAGCACTCTGCATGCTTCATGACAAGCCCCTCACCTATTGTCCTTGTTGGTGGCTGTGTGTGGAAGGCCGGGGTGCAGTTAACATCGGAAGAGATCACGTTCTGTAAATGCAGTGATGATGGTCTAAGAGTTCAGGTTGGTGGCTGTGTGTGGAAGGCCGGGGTGCAGTTAACATCAGAAGAGATCACGTTCTGTAAATGCAGTGATGATGGTCTAAGAGTTCAGGAGAAAACACAGTTGGAAGATGTGTTTATGCTAAGAAAATGTAATGGTAAATTTAAGATGACCAGAGACTTGTATTTGTGGTTATCATCAATGAAGTACAGTGATCATTTAAGAGCCACTGGGAGCCAGAATTCATGGTGACACGATGGATGATGCATCATCATGGATAATGATATAACTAGTATTAAGTTAAATAAATGATAATAGAGAACTACCGAAGGAAGAAGATTTATTTGTTTCAATACAAACAGGCTCCAAAGAGCCATTGCATCATGAGTAATAACAGCACTGCTATCTTTTTCTTGAGATAGCAGATATAAAATTATCCAAGAATGAGATGCATTTGATAATAAAGAAGATAGTACCAACAAAGCGAATGTCCTGAACATGATAGGAAGGTACATAGAGTGCCTGGACATTAAGAAGAATCTTCATGTGCACAGATTGGACAATAAACAAGTATGTATGTGTCGCTTCTCGACTCATTATTCAAAATCTTAACTGATAAATTAGTATGCTTCACATTGACTCATGCTGGTGTTGCATAAATCCAGAGTACATAATAAATGTAGGATAAAATGTGAAGCGTGCACCCTGAAGTTAAACAATAAGGGCTCAGTTATTTTTATTACTATTGCTAACAATTTTAGGCATTTGGTTTGTGAAGGAGCAGTTGAGAGTGTGATAAGATTTCTGTTTTATAGCATATGTGTTGAATATATAGAAATTACACATGAAATCACATCATTTCTGCCCTTCCCTTCTCACCTAACAACTCTCTTTGCTCTTCTTAGTCACATTATAACGTGAGTCACTATTTTTCCAATCTCTTTTTTCACCCTCCTTTCAATATTCTAATCAGCTTGAATTCCATACTATTCATTAACACATCATGCTTTTTCATGCATGCGTTTTCCTTCTGCCTGGGATATCTTTCTCTCTATCTGCTTAATTCAACTCAAAGTTCACCTTCTTTGAGGAAATGTCGCTACGTAGTTATCTAGTTCCTTTTCTGATGCCCCTTCTCCCTTAGAACATGAGTTATTACAGCTTTCACATTTTATAACAATGGTGGATTTTATTAACATACTCATTTTAAATATGAAAATCTGAGTCCTAGAGCTGGAATTTGAACACACATGGCTCAGACTCCTGAGAGCAGGCTCATTTAATGGTATCAGCTCATTTATATATCTTCCTCTTCAACTAGATAGCTTTCCTCACCAAAGGGGACCATGAATTAATTAGAAGTCCATGTGTCTCACTTGGCACTTAGCATAACCTGATACATAATGAGTATTTAATAAAAATTAGATGAATAAATTGATTTATACTATGTGCTGTAAGTATTCTAAACTACAAGTCACAGGATCCTGCCTTATAACAATATCTTGGATTTCCAAACTGTAAATATAGTAAATTAAATATTATGCAAATTTGAATCATGCAAGTTTGTGCTTTAAGATAAAAATGATACATTCTATTTAAAAATATGAAATAATGAATATTCTCCCAAATTAAAATACATCAAGAACTACATGTTCAAAACTGACAGACATAGTAATATTCCATAAGATGATGTCACTTTTAGATCAGTTCAACTGATCTAAAATTATCCAAGTTATCTCTCTTGTGTGAGTAACTGATGAATAAATACATGAATACTTGTATGACTCCAAAAAAAGTATTTTATTTAATTCACGTGGACCTCATATAATTTTTTTAGCACTAGACTGTAAGCCATTACTTGGACAATATCTGAAAAATACAGCATGCAAATGAAAAGATGATTTTTCCATACTTACTCTTTATATCCATCCATTCAGGTCTTACTCAGGTCTTTTTGTTGCAAATTTCTTCATTTACTCACATAGTCAATTGCTATCTGGAC